TCAGTATTGAAATTATTACATATGTATTTACATAAATATTCTTACATACATTTTATCGTTTGGTTCCCAATAATCATTATTCAAGTTAATATTCGATATACAGACCTATCATTATATGTTTATCTCAAATAATATATATATTTTATACCTTTATAAATAACTACCTAAATTATTGAGAGAGTTTTTGAATTATTATTTTTTGCATAAAATTACGCTTATAAATTACTTCTGTCGGATCGTTTTTGAAGACAACTCTCACAGATTTATAAAATTAATTTATTAAACTTTAATCATTTTTAGATATAGAGAGAGAAACGAGTTAATTACCTCGTATTTATAAGGCAAAAAAAGAATAATCTAATTTACATAAATCGTTCTAACCAGATTCAACTTGTGCAAAACAGACGACAAAGAAAAATGTAAAAATCAATGGTAAAGGGTAAGTTCCTATTTTTTACAAGCTTTCACACTCAAAGAATAATTATTTTCTTGCTTCAACTTCTCTGTCCAATTTTTGAATTACTGCTTTCTATATATTAAAACTTATTGAGTCAATGTTTTACAATAAAGGTATATTTTTATGGGAGAAATATGAAACTCAAATTTTCATATGCATATAAAACTATTATATATAGAAGAAGGAATACAATTCGGAAAGAAGAGCTTCTTTATGTAGACTACTTATAGACGACAATCGTACAAGCTTTAAGGCAAGACGTCCTTCTTACACGTACAGAATGACACGATTATCAATTGTTTATATTCACTTCAAATAAAACTTTTAATTAATATTAAATATATATTATAGATAGGAATTCCTTTGGAGATTTGATTTAAAATATATATATATATGAAAAACAATAGAAAAAATTGATTTATCAAGAATTTGGGTTGGCTAGGAAACAGGTTAAATCAATGTTTAGTTGATTTCTGTTCCACTAGATGGCGCTCTGCTTTCTGTAAAGCACATGTGCTCCTGATCAAAATAGGCCCTCTTTATTTTTAATACATATGAAATTATTAATTAAAAGACATATTTTGGATCTAAAATAAACAAACATTTTATTTAATATAAAATGCCAATATATATATGTATATATATATACCGTGAACTATTATTTTATACTATTATTAAAATATATACAAAAGAATAATAATTTTAATGAATTGTATTTAACTTAAAAAAGCTCAATATATGTTATATAAAAAGATAAATAAAAAGAAGAATTTATAAATTCAATTGTCATCTATCAATAAAACTTGTAACAAAAAAATCCACTGGCAATGTATTTCTTTTTTTAATAATTATATCAAATATTATTTTTACAGCTAAGCCCTCTTATTGAATAACTTATATCATTGCAGTAAGGTCTGTAGAGATAATATTTGATGATATTATTGAAATAGAAACACATATTCCCAGTAAATTTGGATGTTACAAATTTTAAAGAAGTTGATGATATAAAGAGATTGGTTAAATCATATTTTATCATAGAACTGAGAATTGAAAATGTGCGCACTCCCATCTAATATATACTGCCATCTTTCGAAAGGTTTTCCAACTAAACGTTGATTATATATTTTAGATTTTCCCGGTTTAACAGAAAATGTTTTATTAAGAGAACAGCATCCTGATCGTGCAACTGAAGTTGCTAATGGCTTGCGTTTAGCCATTTAATTTCACCCTCTACTGAGGGTGGGCCACATGGTCTCTCCATATCTCCCTCCTTCAATGCCTTCCTCTACTGAGGGTGGGCCACATGGTCTCTCCATATCTCCCTCCTTCAATGCCTTCCTCTACTGAGGGTGGGCCACATGGTCTCTCCATATCTCCCTCCTTCAATGCCTTCCTCTACTGAGGGTGGGCCACATGGTCTCTCCATATCTCCCTCCTTCAGTGCCTTCCTCTACTTAGGGTGGGCCACATGGTCTCTCCATATCTCCCTCCTTCAGTGCTTTCCTCTACTTAGGGTGGGCCACATGGTTTCTCCATATCTCCCTCCTTCAATGCCATCCTCTACTGAGGGTGGGCCGCACGGTCTCTCCATATCTCCCTCCTTCAATATTTTCCTCTACTGAGGGTGGGCCACATGGTCTCTCCATATCTCCCTCCTTCAATGTCTTCCTCTACTGAGGGTGGGACACATGGTCTCTCCATATCTCCCTCCTTCAATGTCTTCCTCTACTGAGGGTGGGCCACATGGTCTCTCCATATCTCCCTCCTTCAATGTCTTCCTCTACTGAGGGTGGGCCACATGGTCTCTCCATATCTCCCTCTTTCAATGTCTTCCTCTACTGAGGGTGGGCCACATGGTCTCTCCATATCTCCCTCCTTCAATGCCTTCCTCTACTGAGGGTGGGCCACATGGTCTCTCCATATCTCCCTCCTTCAATGTCTTCCTCTACTGAGGGTGGGCTACATGGTCTCTCAATATTTCCCTCCTTCAGTGTCTTCCTCTACTGAGGGTGGGCCACATGGTCTCTCCATATCTCCCTCCTTCAATGTCTTCCTCTACTGAGGGTGGGCTACATGGTCTCTCAATATTTCCCTCCTTCAGTGTCTTCCTCTACTGAGGGTGGGCTACATGGTCTCTCAATATTTCCCTCCTTCAATGCCTTCCTCTACTGAGGGTGGGCCACATGGTCTCTCCATATCTCCCTCCTTCAATGTCTTCCTCTACTAAGGGTGGGCTACATGGTCTCTCCATATCTCCCTCCTTCAGTGTCTTCCTCTACTGAGGGTGGGCCACATGGTCTCTCCATATCTCCCTCCTTCAATGTCTTCCTCTACTGAGGGTGGGCTACATGGTCTCTCAATATTTCCCTCCTTCAGTGTCTTCCTCTACTGAGGGTGGGCTACATGGTCTCTCAATATTTCCCTCCTTCAGTGTCTTCCTCTACTGAGGGTGGGCTACATGGTCTCTCAATATTTCCCTCCTTCAATGCCTTCCTCTACTGAGGGTGGGCCACATGGTCTCTCCATATCTCCCTCCTTCAATGTCTTCCTCTACTGAGGGTGGGCTACATGGTCTCTCCATATCTCCCTCCTTCAATGCCTTCCTCTACTGAGGGTGGGCCACATGGTCTCTCCATATCTCCCTCCTTCAATGTCTTCCTCTACTGAGGGTGGGCTACATGGTCTCTCCATATCTCCCTCCTTCAGTGTCTTCCTCTACTGAGGGTGGGCTACATGGTCTCTCAATATTTCCCGGTCCTCCGCCATCCTCTTCATCTCATCGTAGGTGTGTCGCCTAGTCCATTGTTTTATATCGTCTGTGTATCCCCGTCGTCTCTTTCCTCTCGATCTCTTCCCCTGGACATTAACCTATAACTTCTACATGTACAGCTTTATATATTTTAAAATACAAAATATTAGGAAGTGCAATATATTTAAAATTCGGAAAAGATCTGTAAATGATATGGTAGTGTGTAAGGGTAAAAAAAAAACAATTTGTTTAACGTTATCTTGAATATTTACAAAATAAATACATATTTCTATATGTAAATATATCAACAATTTCAACATATTTACAGATTGTTGCTTAATTAAACATTTTTACTGCAAAGAACGATTTTATACGCGTAATTCACAATTTTATTAAACATGACATTATGATATTAAGATAAAGATACATTATTATCATAATTGCCGTTATTTATATATAAGAAATTTATTTTAATAATAAACTTCCGCTTAGCAAATATTTAATTTGTTTCAAGTTCAAAAAAGAGCTGAAAAACTTGAAATAGCTTACCAAAATATTCTAAATATAGAATCACATTTCAGGAAAAGATTTGATTTTTACTTATATATTATTAATAGATACCAAATTATAACATTTTAAAATTCGAAGCATTTTCTTTTCGTCTTGGCTTTTTCGTCTGCTTCAAAATAATCCCCAACCAATAAATTGGTCATGTCACATTATGTATTCCAGAAGAGCTTCCCATATCTGTCAAATTAAAAAAAAAAATACGTCTAAATATTTATCTAGTGGAGAAAAAATGTAATTTAGCCCATTTTTATATTAATTTACATAAGCCTAGGAAAAAAATTGACACTCAACACACGTTTGGTGATTAAACCAAAAGTTCAATACAAATTTAATTAAAATATTTAGGCTTAGCTTTTAAAATATACGAATTAAAAATATCTGCTGCATTTTTTTTTTTCCGTTGGTTGGGAAGAAATTGTGATTCATTTGAGAATCGTTTATTTAATTTTCCAAATGTTTAAAATAAGTCCTTCTATCTGGCCCACACATCTCTTCTGAGAATTAATTTAAATTAAATTCGCGGTTTTTTTAAGTCCACTTTTTAAATTTTACCTATTTTATAAATATATAAATACTGGTGTATATATTTTTCGTAATAATTAAGAATTAAATATAAAATACGGTATATGCCTTTAAATAATTGAAAGGAATTTTGTAATTTATAAATATATAAGCAAATTGTTTTGAAAATAGTGCAATGCATAAATAAATCTATAATTAAAAAGGCACATATTGGTAAAATAAATGATATTTTGACCTAATTTATGCCTTTTTAATTAAAAATATAAACATATATTTCTCGACATTTCGTATATTTTATATATGACTGATTATATTGGCAAAAATTATAAAATATATTAATTATCTAGTATTATATTAAAATATATTTCAGTTGGTTATATGTTCCTATATATATGAGACCTATATACAATTCATTTTATATACGATTAAATCAAAAACAGGACTAAAAACAAAATTAAAACCGAAAGATTGGTTTTCTCAAACAGAAAAGGAAATCCAAAATAAATTTACAAAAATTATTGAATTTTGAATAAGTGTCTTTGTTATATACAAACTAGCCGAATCCCCAGGGCAACGCCCGGGTTTTACCCGATTAAATGCTTTTATTCAAATACTATTCGTTACAATTATAAATTGGCGCCGTGGATGTCATTCTTGTATAATATATAAATGAGTTTTAAAAATTGTAAAAAAAAAAAAAAATGCATCGGCCGGGAATCGAACCCGGGCCGCCCGCGTGGCCCGCGTTTACCAGTGAACTACCGATGCTTATAAGAAATGGCCCTATTTGGGTATTTATTCCATTCACAATAGCACAATTGCTTTGAATTTTAATTGATTGATGACTCTGATACTTGTTATATACAAATTCGCACATTTCTTCGATGGGATAAAAATGATTACTTCTGTAGCTATGAAAGAATAAATGTATTGAGTTTTAGTTTTCACTATGTTTACTTTTCACCGTTTCTGACAGCAGGACATAGAGTCCTTTAATATTAAATCACGTTGACATTATAAAGAGGAATGTGTTCTAAACGTGACTGTGTTGTTGCAGTTCTACGGGAAGACTTCCGTGTCAGTCCTAAGCCTAACATGGTGGCCGCGGGTCAGACAGCTACGCTGGAGTGTGGGCCACCCCGAGGCCATCCGGAGCCCGCCGTGCGATGGAAGAAAGACGGGGAACTGGTGAACGCTGGCACGGGCCGTATACGTATCGTGGGTGGAGGTAACTTGGTACTGGACGACGTACGGCCTGCGGACGGAGGGTCATACCGCTGTGTGGCGGAGAACGTCGTGGGGATACGGGAGTCCGCACCGGCCCTGCTGACCGTACAAGGTACGTCCTACTGGGCCACACCTATGGTGAGATGTAACATGAGTTTATTATATACATCAAAACAATATTTTGATAATCTTCTCTCAGAATTCTCAGATTCATATCAATAAGCCACATCACTATGACCCGAATTCTAAAGAAATAAATAGATAAAGATACGTAGCCTTAGATTGCTTGTGAATTTTCTTAAATAAACATCTTTTTCGAAATCAAAAGAAAGCCTAACATCTGTACCCCCCGTGGTTTCTATCTATAAGATGTATCAGAACATGGACAACAAAATTTCAAAACATCCTTGTAGAGGAATTACGAAATCGGCCGAATATGCCAAATATGGATACAACAAGAATACCTTTTAGTGTTATAAATACTCTCCGAGTAGAAAAGGGTAAATTACATGAATAACAGTAATTGTGTGTTTTTTTTTTAATAATATAGGGAAACTTAGAAATCTCTGTTTAAAAATGTAAGAAAGGTTTATCGCTGTTTTAACGTGTTTAGAGTACAGAACAATAATATATGTAAATGTGACAATATCGTTGCGGAATTTCTTGTTGTTCGATTTGAATGGTGAGGATTGGTTGAAACGCAGTCGTTGAGTGGCAAGTGAAGCACACAGTTAGGAATAATCAGGACACGTGATGGGGTTTGAAAATAAAAGGCAACTGGGTTGGAGGAAAGAAAGCTTGAGAAGAGCGGAGCGATTTGGATTGTTAATTATCTGATCACATGGCGGTGATTGAACTTAGCTGTGGGATGAGCAGAGGGAGAGAGGCCTCGAGAGTAGATGTCACCTTGTTGGAAGCGAAGGAGCAACTCTAGGTGTTGTTCCGATGGTAGCCAAAGCACAACTGACTATTCTTGCTTTTCGATTTAACACCACGAGTTGTCTTCCTTCCCATTGGTCGAGGGATAGCACGTGTCCGTTTTCCTATTGGTTGACCTATTTAGTTATTCCTTCCCTAATTGGACCGGCGGCTTTCTTTGGTGAAAGATATGCCCGGCCTGATAGGAAGTATCAGGTGTTAGTGGCTCTATTTACTTCCGCGGCTATCAAATACGTCCGGCCTTCTGTCAGGAAGTATGGGGTGTCTCTCTACTTTTATAACTTCTGGTCACCAGATACGTCCTGCTTTGCCAGGAAGTATTGAGTGTTTCTCGACTAATATAACTTCTGCGGTCACTAGATACGTCCGGCCTTCTGTCAGGAAGTATTGACTGTACAAGTTATTTATAATTGTGCCCGCTTTAAACCTATTTCCTATGTTTTGTTACTACTTTCTTTCCTCCAGTTACCTTGTTCTTTATTAAATCTTTGAAAATCATACATTGTACATGCATAGTGGGTCGGGGGTGCATACAATTATATACAAATTATGACAGATGCGCCCCCTACATGTGAAGAATTCAAGAAGGGGTTAGCCTGAGAGAATTCTGTAAAGGAAAAAATAATTTTGTGGGAAAATTAGTTGTGGGTATTGAGGGGCTATATACAAGCATTGCTGGTGATATAAAAGTAAAATAGAATGGTGTTGATGATATAGGTTGAGTATAATTAATAGAAATCAAAAAATTTTTTAATTGTAAGAAATCAAAATGAATGCTATGGTACATAGTGGATTAAAAAGAAAAGAAAATGCGCCTAACTGATTTCTACTCGAAATTGGAAATAAAAACGAGGGAGTTCTATTAGGGCTTTTGAGAAATCAAAATTAATATAAAAATAAAAAGTTGGACGAAATCAAAGTGAATGCTTGGTTGCATGGTGAGAAAAAAAATGCTTTGTTGCATGATGAAAAAAAAGAAAAATGCCTAATTAATTTTTTGCTCGAATTTTGGGAAAAGAAATCGAGGAAATTTCATAAGGTCTTTTGAGAAATCAAAGTAAAATAAAAAGTTGGAAGAAATCAAAGTGAATGCTTGGTGCATGGTGAGAAAAAAAAAAGGAAAAATGCCTAACCATATTCTAGCTCGAAATTGGGAATGGAAATCGAGGGAATTTTATTAGGGCTTTTGAGAAATCAAAAATAAAAATAAAAAGTTGGAAGAAATCAAAGTGAATGCTTGGTGCATGGTGAGAAAAAAAAAAGGAAAAATGCCTAACCATATTCTAGCTCGAAATTGGGAATGGAAACCGAGGGAATTTTATTAGGGCTTTTGAGAAATCAAAATAAAAATAAAAATAAAATTTCATAAGGTATTTTGAAATCAAATAAAAATAAAAAGTGGTTGAGCGAAATCAAAGTTGAGTGCTTGGAAAAAAAAGAAAAATGAAAAATAAAAAGGTTTCAACAACAAAGGATGATTTAATGTTTTTAGTTTAACCGAAAATCAATGAGTTTTCGTTGATAATTGAGTTATGGCAATATAAGCTAAGTGGTAAATAGAATGATAATTGATAAATAAAAATGATAATATAAACTAATTGAAAAAAAAATGATAATTAATGATTAAAAGTGATAATAAGTTGAATAAATTGATAAATTGATTATATATTTAAATTTTAATTGAGAGAAAATAATGAAAATGATTAATATGAAAAATAAGGTGTATTGTTTTGAACCCTTTTGTGTATCTACATGCCCTGATCTAAATGTTTTAATTGCTCAATTATGCCCTATAAATTTTTTAATTGCTCAATTATGCCCTATAAATTTTTTGTCTCATCTGTAGCGACACTTAGGTGAAAACGTGATTCTACCCCTCAAGTGCGTTTATGCTATGTGTACAGAAGACATGGAAATCTATATAACCTTTATGTGTAATTTTTTGTCTTTGTGTGTGTTGTGAAAAAATGTTAGAAGTCTGTTGTGTAAGAAATGTGTGAGCGAGTTCTATGTGTTGTCTTGTGGATGTGGAATTGGATGGTAAAAATCGATATGTAGACTCGAACTGGAATCCCAAAATCGGTGGCATAGAGAGGTTCCCAGTTGACCTCAATAGGGGACCTTCTCATTGTAATTAGAGATACGGAAGTGGGGTGTGTCGGGCAAAAGAGAGGGAATGAAATTGGTGATCGGACGAGGCGCTCCGCTTTGTTTGCATAGGCCAAATTTATCGCCGCGGACCACACTTCCTGTCGCGGTGTCTCAAAATTCACTCTTCCTTCCGCTTATTTATTTTTTGGTGCGGCTCAGATCTTGTTTTTGGAGTGTGACTTCTCCGATATTGGTTGGTTATCTTTCAGTTACTTCTATCTCTTCGGAGTTTATTTAGATTTTCTGCGAAGATGGTTCCTAAAATTATGAGAAGTTTTATAAATGTTTGTCCACAATGAAAAATTGCTTGTCCACAATGAAAAATTGCTTGTCCAAAATTAAAAACTGCCTCTTGTAGTTCGAAAATTTTATGAGCGGACATGGTATAGATAAATAAATAATTAAGGAATAAAATTGGGATACATTTGTATGGTAGAACTAACAAACAAAGGATGAAAATCAGATGAAAAATAGGGTATTGCCCCATGTTCCTCCAGATTTTTGTAAATGGGGACTCTGAAATATTTGCCTGAACCTTATTAATTGTAGAATTTAAATGATTGGTAGGTTCGCAGTTCTCCTGTTTGATCGTTAATGGTTTTATTAGCGATATGTCGGTGGTAATTGATTTAGGTTGAGCTGTGTGATTGTTTCTCTGACGCGGGTGGTGTAATCTTGGCATTGTTTGTGTTGTGTGTACGCTGTGCTTTATGTACGAATTCTGTTTTGCTTTGGGGCCTGTGTCGGTATTTTTACGTGAAGGTTGGTTGTATTCATCGATTCTTCTAGCGAATCGGCAGATGGGGCAGGTTTTTACCTGTTTTGCGATGTCTTGTGTCATGTTCTGCCAATAATATTGTGACGAGATGAGTCTCGTCATCTTGGAGATGTTTGGGTGGTGGTGTTGTGTGTGTACGGACTTAAGAAGTCTGGTTGTAAGTGAACTTGGGACTATAGTTTTAAGTACTCCTTTTCGGGAGACGGTGCGCAGTTTATTGTGATCCATAGTCACGCGAGATTTTCCCGGTGGAGAAGACTGTTGGCTCTTTATGAGTGGCGCATCTAGAAAGCCACAAAATGGGATACGAGTTACAACGCCCGTTTCATATTGTTGTACTCCATTTATGCTACGGACCTCATATTCGTATCTTGACAGTCTTAACCTCCATCGAAACAATCTGCCTGACGGGGCTTTGATCTCTTTCAACCACTGCAATGCAGGATGGTCAGAAAGTATTGTAAACTTTCTGCCCATTAGACAGGCGCGGAAGTTATCCACACTTTCCACAATGGCTAGGCATTGTAGTTCCAAGTCTGAATAATTTCGCTCGTGACCACGCAGAGAGCGGCTGAAATGTTGAACTGGGTATGTCTTCCCATCAGGGTAGACTTGTTTAAGAATGCCTGCAATGCCGAATGTTGAGGTGTTACAGTACATCTGGCATGGCAGA